TAGGCGAGGTTAAACCCCCCTATAGAATCTCTCCAACCCCTCTTATAAAGTGTTCAACCCCACCGAAGCCCTTTTCCACCCCTCCTTTCAAAAAATGAAAATCCGCCCTTGATATTTAGACATATAATCTGCCGATAATTTCATGATATAAAGCACACAACGGACTCGGAATATATAGTTCCATATCTTAGGCTATCCTCATTTCATGGTTTTCTACTTCGTTAATTGACATCGTCATCGTATAAGCAAATTTGACTGAACCACATGACTGTTTGTTTTCGCAGTCAAATCCTCTCTCTAATACGGACACCTCTCTAATTCGGACGTACTCTGATACAGACACCTCTCTATATGCTTCGGACAGTTTGCTTTAACTCATTGGTATTCGTTATATTAGTGATTTTAACTGTAACCCAGAGTTCAAAAGTAGTCTTCTTAATATATCTTTTAAGATAATAATGAGTTAATAAAATATATGCATATAAGTTTTTATTATGCATACAGTTTCTCCATGACTGTTTAAATATATACTCGTTCATTTCCGGACTTAAACTTCCGAACATGTCAGTGCCGCCTGGCCCGCCTATGTGCTGATCACACATAAATAATCACTAACAATCTATTGTCTTATAACTCAGTTTTAAAAATACCGCCTATGCCATGTTATAAGGTAATAAATGAAGACATATAGTAGATACTGGCATGCTTGCCTGCGATGCGACTGTTTAAGCTTTGTCTGGACTGTCAAGCATGTGACTATTACGACATACAACTCGTGCAGTTACGGCCATCTACTATATATTAATAACCCATCCTCTTCGTTCAATGGACCACTTGCATTATAGACTAAATTTTTATCTAAACAAAAATTTCATCACAGCTTGAAAGAGCATCACAAAATTAGTAATATTCCAAAGTTTCGTTGCGAAATGTTGTAAAATGCGGATAATATGGCGTTGCGAAGTTTGCAATTTTCAGTCATTTTATATTACAAACAGGAAATTGATGCCCCAACACCCGATTGGACTGTCAATTTCCCGTGCGTAATACAAAATGACTGAAAAACGGCAAACTTCGCAAGGCTGTATTATCCGCATTTTACAACATTTCGCAACGAAACTTTGGAATATTACTAATTTTGTGATGCTCTTTCAAGCTGTGATGAAATTTTTGTCTAGATCAAAATTTAGTCTATAATGCAAATGGTCCATTAGACTAAAGTAGATTATCGACTAACCACAAAAATAATTGCTAACTACAAATTAATGAAAACAATTTTTAAGTCATTCACTTACATGAGACGATAGGTTTCCAAAGACTTTCATCTTTTGAGGTAAAACATTTCTTGATTAGCGTGAAAAGCCAACAACACGTTGTCGTTGTTTGTATGTAGGCGACCATAATTGAATGTAGGCTGTTGTTTAAGCTGAACAAACAGGGAAAAAACTTTAAAATAATAACTGGTAGTGCTTGTAAAGTGCAATACAGTATTCTACAAT